GTGGGAGGGTGGGTGTGCATGTGGGAGGGTGGGTGTGCATGTGGGAGGGAGGGTATGCATGTGGGAGGGTGGGCGTGCATGTGGGAGGGCGTGTGCATGGACAGGTGTACATGGGCGAGTGGGCGTGGACACCTGTGCCTATGTCCCTGGAGCAGGCAAGGCCCCCTCCCCCGCCCCCAGCCTGGGGGCCTCAGTCTCTCCCTCATCAAGAGGAGTCAACCCTCAGCAGCTCCTCCAGCCCTGCAGACAGCACACGGTGTTGCCCCAGAGCATCGTGGGAGGCGTTAGCAGGCCATGACGGAACCGTGGTCGCATGCCTGGGAAGTGACCCTGCCACAGAGCAGGCATCCTGCCTGAGGCACCAATGCAGAGGGCCCCAGACCCTGGCTCCAGCCCGCTGAGCACGCTGGCTGCAGGCCTCCAGTGGTGGCCCAAGGTGAGCCCCGGTGAAGGACAAAGCTCAGTTTCCCAGCTGACCCCGGCTGCAGCGCGAGCTCCACCCTCATCACTGTCTTCCCACAATGGCCTGCGGTCTTTGGTGATTGTCCCTTGAGAAGGGGAGAGTCACCATGCTGCCCGCTGAACCTCTGGCTCCTCCCCACTGGCCATCACAGCAGCAGCCCTGCACAAACACCTGCCACGCCCCCTCGGCCTGGGAGGTGATGTCCCCCGGCCGTCCCCGCCCACCCCACCCCCCACCAGGTCACCCTCCAGCGTCACCACACAACCGGCCTCCGGCCACCTTTCCTCCTTTCCAGCACACTCCTCAGACACACCGGAGGGCAGAGTCTGGTGGGAACTCGGGAGGGCTGCACCAAGGGCCAAGTGCTGGGCGACTGGCCTCAGTGTGTTGGTGCCACCATCAGTGCATTCCTGAGCTCCTTTGCCAAGCAGCCACGGTGGCCCTGCTGTGTGGGGCCTTTTCTGAGTGTGAGACGGAGCCGTGCACACGCCGGACACGCCACACCCTCCCATCCATCTGCAGGAGGCCCACATGGTCACGGAGAAGAAATGGGCACGGACGTGCCTTTCAGAATGTGACAGGAGTCAAACAAGAGGCTGGGGATGGGGGTGGGGGGAACCCCTGTTCCTCCACCAGCCTTTCCTGCCCCACCCCACACCCAAAAGAACAAGCCACCACCGCCAGGTGGCATGTCTTGTGAAAACAGGGGAGGGGTAACGTCAGCATGGACTCGGTGGCTGTGGGCTGCTTGGGTTTCTTGCTCATAGCAGCTGCCCTACTGGGCAGCAGCTGTATTAACAAGGTGGATCCCAAGCACCCGCTATGAGCTAACTCACTCGATTCCATCGCCACCGGGCAGGGCTCTACTCCCACCAGCCAGAGGGTAGTCAAGGAGCCCTGGTGGCATAGTGGTAGCGCCCTGGGCTGCTGGTCCCCAAGGCCAGCAGTTCGAAACACCAGCTGCTCCACAGGAGAGGGATGCAGATTTCTACTCCCGTACAGACGCACACTCTCGGAAACCGTCCTCTAGGGCCCACTGCGTAGGAAGCAGGGCGCCTGGTTCTTGGTTATGGAGAGCATTGGCTGCTGCCGTCCAATCAGACCTGAGCCCCACTGAGCTGGCATACAATAGCACAACATAGGCCAGCCCTGGGCACTTGGCCTTGCCATCCCCACGATGGTCCTGGGTGAGCTCCTGCAGTGGTCCCTGCGTTATACCCTTCATCAAGGGTCCTGCTTTGTCCTGGGGCCTCTACTCTACGAAACACGATGCCCTTCTCTGGGGACTGGTCGCTCTGGATGACGCATTGGCCATGCTACAGATGAGGATAACCCCGGCGTCGAAGTCAGGGGTCAGCCCCTTCGGTCCATGACCCTCAGCCCTGCGACAGATGACACAGCGCAGATGGCAGCCACCCTGTCAGCGGCTGAGGGAGGACCCCTCAGTCAAGCAGCACATGAAGACATCCTGCAGAGCGGTGCATGCCCGGCATGCGCCAAGGCTGCGGGAGAGGGGGCCGAACGCCTGTCCACTCTGAGCAAGCAAGCCCGCGCGCGCTGTCCGCCATCTCCCACCAGGATGAACCTACAGAAGGGCATGGTGAGAACGGGTTTCGAACTCCAGCTGGCAGTCTCTTTGCTTGTTCTTTCTCCTCCTGGAAGCCCCGCTCCATCACAAGGCACGTGGCGCTTGGGGCCCACTGACCAACAGGTGTCTGCAGTCGCCTGGGGGGAGCACCAGACACCATCCGACTAAGGAAGACCGGAGAAGACCGGACGCACTTGAGGGACGGTGCTGCAAAGCATGCTCCCAGTCCCATGGGCTGCCCCCGGGAGGACAGCCAGAGTGCTCCAGAGAGGCAGGGATGACGTGACTTGTGTCTGGCGTACTTGGACATGCCATCCGGAGAGAGTGGTCCCTGGACCAGGACACTACGCTTCGTAAAGGGACAGAGGGGGCAAGGGAAGGTCCTCACCAAGATGGATGCACACAGTGACCGCGACACTGGACTCAAACATTGTGAGGATGGGCCGGGCGGTGTCTCGCTCTGTGGTACTCAGGGTCGCCATGAGCTGGGACAGACGCGATGGCGCCTGACATCAACAACCAGCACTGCCACGTTCATCAGAGCCCAGCACCCGACCGCACTGAGCACCGTGGATGGAGCCAAGCTGCTCAATAAAACACCAGCACGCTGCTTGCAGGAGGGCCGGGTGGCCGGTACAGGCAAGGGAAGCAGGAAGCAGGATCCGCTGACTTCAGGGAGGGAGTGGAATGTGAAATGCCTTTGGTTCCTGGTACCTCTGCAGGCTTTTCCCCAGGGCTCTGCAGCCCTTCCCAGGAGGGAGGAAACGGGGTCACAACACCAGGGGAGCAGGATTCCCAAGCTTATGAGCCCCCTTCCCTTCTCTGGGACTGAGCATATGCCCAGTACGAAAATGGATGGATGGACGATGGGTAATTCTGGGTGGGAAACCACACGAATGCAGAGACGGATGAGCGGTGGGAAGACGGATGGATGGGGGTGACTAGGGGAGTGATGGGTGGGCCGT